TCGCAGCGGTACTACAACGAGTAGAAAACCGGTTTAAAATTATTTTTTTCTACAAACTTTACCCTACTCACAAACTTCCGACATTAATCTACCATCGATTCTTGGACATTTGAAGGACAGGTACTTCGGTCCATTGGGAAGTGAAGTGTGAGTGAGCCAATCTGCAACATCAGGACAGGTACTCTGAGCCCATAGGCAATACGTCGCGCAGCAAGCAGAAGTCATGTGTTAAAATTTGCGCACCTAATCGTCAGCCCTCGGTAGCTCCGGTGGTAGAGCAGCGGACCGGAAATTCATGGACCGGGGTTCGACTCCCCGTCGAGGCATATCATTGTGCGTGAATTTTAATCGTGACTTCTACTTTCTACAAACTTTACCCTACTCACAAACTTCCAACATTAAAATTAATTGTACCTCGGTCATATTGGGAGTATGGCCAAGTACAACAACTACCTGAGAAACAAGAGACAATCAATAACTTTGCCGCTCCAAAATCCAAAGGTCATCTCCGTTCGTTCCTGGAAGTGGTGGCATTTGATTCGTGCTATATTTTGAACAGAGGATCAGCCCATTACGAACCGCTCATTTGAACTTCCGAAACGGAGCAGGCATTCAACCATCTAAAGTCTTGCTAAGCAACGGATCCAAAATGTTAACTCATACAAAATCCGAGTGAGGGGTTCACTGTGACGGTTGACTCAAGTAACTTTGCATTTGGCGCAGTTCTGTCCCAAGCAGCTGAAGTGATAGCGTATGCCAGTAGAGTGCAAATGGGTGCGAAGCAATAGCATGCTATGACCGAGAATGGATGTCTTGAGATCGTGTGAGCTTTGGAAATGTGGTGAACGTACCTCTTAGGAAACGAGTTCCATGTCATCACTGAACACAAAACGCTATCATGACTGATGACGAGGACAGATCCGAAGGGCGTCTGAGACGCTGTGCCTACCGACTTCAAGAATTTACCTTTACCATCGAGCACATAGACGGAACAGTAAGGGTATTACCAGACATGCTGTCGCGTCCGTATTGGGATGCACTGAATCCAGAACATGTTATAGCGGTGTGTGGTTTATCAGTAGACGGTAGAAACCTACTGGAAGAGCTGAAGACGAATGAATTCCTGAAGTTAATGTGTACTCAGTTACAACCGCGAACCAAGTCGGAAGCAATGTCAAGAGAGCTAAAGAAACTCCTCCGGTTCTAGAACAGGCTTCAACTTGCAACCGCTAATTTGGTGGTGGCAACGAACGGGATTAAACTACCGTTTATTTCAGAAAACAAACGAGCACGGATGATTCAGTTGGCCTATGATTGTGTCAATATGGGCTGTGAGAGATTTTGGACTGCTACGGAGAAGTGTTTTGGTCATTCATGGGAAAGTAGGTAGCTGCATACGAGGGGTGTTAAAAATGACACCGGACCCATTCTGTAACATTTAATTTCGCATTTGAAAACGTTGTAAGCAGTTTCCTTCTCAAAGTGCCCATGCTTTACCGGCAACGCACCGTTCCCAAGTGTGCTTTATTTTCTTGGAATGTATACTGGAACGCATTTTCTAGGATATCGTGCAGGTCGCTTGTCGCATTGTCCTGTATCTCCTCTGTGCGTTAGATAAGACGTCTTTTCAATGTGGTTTTAAATTTGGCGAACAGGCGAAAGTCTGCATGGCTAGGTCCGGAGTATACGGTGGATTGCGCACAACGGGAGTGTGATGTTTGTCTAGATAGCTGCGGGAAAATGAGCGGTGCGTGAGCCGGCACATTGTCATGATGTGTCATCCAAGCCTGATTTTTCAACAGTTCAAACCACTTCCAGTGCGCACTATTCCACAAAAGCGCTAGAATTTGATGGCATGATCGAACGCAGATGCAAAGCTCGTCAGAAACTTCTCCAACAGTTAAATGACGATTCCTACGGATCACAGCAAGAACTCTCTCCCTATGATCATCGTTTGTTGATGTGGGAGGTCGTCCACGCTTGGAATCCTTACCGACCGACATTCTACTGTGTTCAAAACACTCACACCACTCAAAGCAATTCGTGTGACTCATACAGTCCTCCTCGTATGTTTGGCTACCCAGTTGAAATGTCTGTAAATCTCCTGTCAAGTTTGAAGCAGCATTTACCACACACGCCTTGTTCTTCAATTTCTTTCATTGTCTCTTTGGCACCAATCCGACAAACAGCCTGTACACGAGTTTACTTCGGCGGCGGTAGCTCCTTAACCTACAGTCATAGCGAAATGCGGCATATAGCAGTTTGTTGTCTAAGACAGCCACCGCATGCGCTCAGTAGACGCAGCGCGCGCACCCTGTTAGTTGCCACGTTATTTCAGTAGTTTGCTTTCTTTCTGAACACACTTCATACATTCGGAATTGCCCAATTTGCCAAACAATCTGCGAGATGGTGGCACCGAGACCACCGATGCGATCGGCTGTAGTGTTGGGGATTGGATATCTATTTGCTTATACCGTGGAGTCACTCAAGAAACAATTACCTCTAGTAATGTTTGATTCGATGTATAGAAGTTATGCTGATCAAAAATCAGACAGGCGAAACCGTGTCACAGGTATTTGAATTCAATGTGCCAGCAGGGTATGGAATAACAAAATAGGTTATTACTTCGCTTTGAATCGAGGGTTTTCAAATTGAGGTTGAACAAGGGGAAAATTCAGAGAAGACACAGGTAACCGTACCACTGGCAAACCAACGGAATGACAGAGAGGGTTAATAGAACCATGAAGGAATGAATACTCTGCATGAAACTGGCATGGAAGGAAGCAGTGCCGGAAGTTCTACTCGCTTATCGAACCAACATGCAGTCGACCAACATGATTTTTCCATTCGAATTACAGTTCATTAGAGAACAAAGGATTGCCTTCGACACCTGCTTAACGAATGATCGTGAGTGGGAACATCCAGCGGTGCATCACGAGATTTTGGAAGCAACTGCGGGAAGAGAAACCAAATCTCGACAGTTATGAAATAAGCGGAACTACGATGTCAGGTAAGCATCGAAACGGTGAAGACCATTCAGTAAAGGGGAACAATTCAAGGTAAGAAACAACGATAGAGCAAAACCCAGTGGACCTGTTGCTAGCAAGTTTAAGCAAAGCTGGAAAGGTGATTATTGGTACTTCCTCGAAAGGGACTAAGGTTTCAAAATGACAGTGGGATGGCAAAACTTTGGGTGAACGGAGCTTTATCGTGACCACAGTAAAGTTGAGAAAAGCAAATTCGATCAGGGGCGCGTGTTGTGGCAGGAAGGAGAGCGATTACGCAGGAAACTAGAAAGCGCGAGGAACGAAACTGGCGCAGACATCCTGGACGAGATCGGACGATGCAACGCTAACGTAACAATAGTAGCGGAGAGCAATAATATTGTAGTCAGCTTTTCGGACAGAACTCTATGGAAAGGCGCCAGTCAACATGTTGCACTCCAACGGAGGGCCTTCTGAAATTTCCAGCAATCAAACATTCCGCAAATGCTGAATACCTATGCAATACCCCAGGTGATATTTGCGATCTAGGCCTGGCGTTCCTGGCGCAAACGCGACGTCAATGCACTTGACGCCCTACAACCTAGAGTAACCAAACTAGTTAGAGGAATGTTTCCTCTCCCCTACCACCGCAGTATGCAGTCCCCGAAATCGTATGTTGGTGAATATCGACGTTAGCATGAGATTTGATCATGGTCCACTTCAAACTGACGAACCCAATGCACCAATGTCGAGATTTGTTGCAGCTGAGCCATACTACCAACCTAAGATGCAATCCGCTCAAACTGGCTACGCACTACAGTCGACTTGATTGTTGACGGAAGGTTTCATCCATCCGTGTGTTCCGCACCTGGAACGCCATTCTGACTCTCCACATATCTGACCCTACATTAAGGCATTCAAAAAGTGTAAATATGACACGCTGTATAACTTGATGTAGTACATTTCATTCGGAGGACGAAATGAAGCAAAGCAAACTATGTGCTTAACGGTGCTTACCGCAACATGGCGGTGAGGATATATGCATAAGTATCCTTGTGAGTAGGATGGTGTATCTAAATCGAATTAACCTAGACTGTGGGTCAAATGAAGCAACACAGGAGTGGGCGCTCTCATTTGCTTTTTTATTTTTCACGGAGTTACTTAACTATGATTGCTCTTTCTATTATGTTGTGCGAAGATCCCATTCCCATTTGAAAGGATCGTAATGCGGTATCTACTTTAAATCGGCCAATGCTTGAAATGAAGATTTCCATTTTCGTTGATCTTTTCAATTTATATTTTCACTGTATCTATCCTGCGGGATTGTTATGCACATCGTTCATTGTTGTTGAACGCCTCATTTTATTGGAACTGCACTCTTCACCTACCACATTATTTGTGTTGTAATATTGGTCATGAGAAAATATAATTTTGCACTGTTTCACAGCCACGTATCCGGAGAACTGTGGAACACTAACCTATACCTAGCTACTTAAAGACACTTACACCTTGTTAGAGAACAGAATTAAATCATATACCGAAGTATACCGATACTAATGCCAGTTTACGAATATGGCATTGGAAACGTGAGTGCATCAGGCAGGAAGCTATCCTTAGGCTGTGACACAACAATGAGTGGACCTGAAGGCTCTATTTCGTCAGAATAACGAGGCAATCTTACAGACGACAATTGTGAACCCCACCGACTAACCGACCATACCAACGATGATATCAGTGATGGAAGAAACCAATTCAGTATTGCAACCTAATCCATCCGACGGTGAGCAGGAATTAAGGCAGAAGGAAGAGAAGAACAAAGGTAACTTGAATACAAGCAGTTTTTATTGTGGAATGTAAGCAAAGTGTGTACGAGGACAACACCTATATTCGCCGAATGTCCGAACGACGCGTTGGTTTGTGTGCGGCACTCTAGCGCACTAATGGGCACGATGGCAGAAGTTCCGGACACGTGACTCGCTCCGGTTTTCTCACAATGCAATATTCCGTATCGCATACCAGTTTGCCATTGCAGATTTCCACTTCTTCGCAAACACCCGGTGCTATTAGTGTCTAAAATGGGGCGATGATGTTAGGTGGACTTGGATGACATAACTCACAATGATCTTGTAAGTCAACATCTTGTTAACAGAGAAGTCCCTGACGACAGACAAGATTTGCAAATCTTTCTCGTTGAGGAACCGATATTCTGTCTGCGAATTGATTGCAATCTCGAGCTACAAGGAAGAAATTGATGTAAGTGAGAGTGGTGAGGTGATGTGGGGCACATGCAAACTTACATAAATTCGGATCTGGCTGACTACGGTGAGTGCCTTTCTGCACTCCTCCGGCTCGTCGATGAACATAGCGGGGCTGGTGGTTCGACGGGTGGTTGTACGTCTGGTGGTGGTAGTTGTGAGGGTTGTTGTGGTGGTAGTGGTAGTTGGTGCCGGTGTGGTTGTTGTGGTGGTGGTCGTGGTCGTTGTGGTTGGGGCTGGTGTGGTTGTGGTCGTTGTTGTTGTGGTGGTGGTGGTTGTGGTTGTGGTTGTGGTAGGAGCTGGAGTGGTGGTTGTGGTTGTGGTCGTGGTCTTCTCGGGTTTCCCACACGCACAGCAACCAGAGCAGCAGCATGACGGCGCTTCTACATGTACGTCCGACGCAACGTCCACGATGACACCACCCTTGTGTGCTTTATGCACAGCCTGCTGTGGTACGTGATGCGCCTCTGCGAGCAATACGCAGAGTACAGTGAGGAGGAATACGGATGGCCTCCACATGGCTATAATGCATCCAAGATGACAATCAGATTGATTGTAGAAGAGAACAGGGCAGGAACAAGAGAATTGGAATGTGTGTTTTGTATACGGTTGATGCATAACAGATGCTGGGTTTAGAGAATGACTGATGTGCAGATGAGTCCAACTAATGTGCGCTAGTTTTGCTTAATCTGTATAAAGCAATGCCTTTCTATTTACGAGTGTCATAAATGGAACATAGTGAGTTTTAGCATTAGGATCAAAATGACAGAATGTAGGCTTTTGTTAGTTAGCGAAAATGTGGTCTGGTGAAACGATGATAATTGTCTAGTATTTGTTGAAACGTACTGTCTGGTTTGTTCCTACTTCGGCGCTGAGTAACTGGTAGCTTGAATTCACCACTGCTTAACGTGTTTTTATACATCCTTCAATGCAGTGCGTGTGTTGCTGGACTGCATTCATTAGCGGAGGGTGTGTGCCCCCAGGAGTGGGCAATTGTTGTTGTGAAGCGAAGCCGATGTTGTGGAGGTCATTGTGAAGTTACGAATCCGACTGAATCCGATTGAATTGACCGAGAGATGCGGGGGTCTCTACCAGACAGTGAACTGCTTCTGATGAAGGCGATCAAAGGTTTGCATTTCATTACGGTTTCGAGTGGACCGACGGTTGACGACGCGTTCGTGCCACCATTGATTGCGACTCAAAATGACAAGGATAGAGTTCGGTATTGAGTGACTCGAAACTGGGGCAGCGGCTCCTAAACCAGCTGTTCGCAGCTGACGTTAATATCATCCAGCTTTAATTTCTCTTTTATCCGATGCTATTACAGTCATATGTCGGGCTAAATCGGGTCTTACCGCAGGCTTTACTTTCGCTTGTTCTAACAAAAACGTTTGCCAACGTTGCACTATTGCACCAAGCCTATTTATGTTTACCAACTTAGAGATCGTTTAACGGACATTGGCATCGGATTAGTAATCTCAAATTTCACTGATGATATGGGTTTACTGGGAGACGATCCATTTGCCGTCCAGAGCAGTATGAACCGCACAGCGCTGGATGCGTTTGAACACTGCCTGTATTTCATCACGGCAACATGTAAAACATTGCTCCAGTTGTAACAAGTGCTTGTACCTTACCTCACCAATGCTAGTGACGTTCTGGAACAAGTTCCCTGCAGAACGTAGCTAGGGAGTCGCATCATGGCTGGTGGCGGTGTTTGAGATGTCTTTTTGTATTCATCAGCCTTAACCAATTAGTTCGTCGTTGTGATGTCATTGTAAAGTTCAAGGTCAGAGTGTATTTTGGAACTGTCCGTGCGCTTTTCTTGTACGGCTTTGAGGAGAAGTCTATTCTCTCTGAGGACTTGAAGTGTTTGCCTATAGTGGCTGTGCTTGTCTGTGTATGATTGATAGTGTGTGTTGACAGCATTGAAAAAATAACTGAGAATTCCGAGACCAAGGGCTTGGGGCGAATGGTCCCCGCATCTGGCACTGTATGTTAAGCGGTGGCTAACCCTCGGCGCCTTCATATGGCAGCAACCAACGATATCCCTCTAAAACACGTCTGGTAGGGTAGTTTAGCCAGAAACCAAAATCTCGACAATGTTGCATTGGGTTCATCAGTATGAACTAGACGTCCATATTCTCCACTATACAATTTCGGGGACTGCATTCTGCGGTGGTAGGGGAGAGGAAACATTCCTCTAACTAGTTTGGTTACTCTAGGTTGTAGGGCGTCAAGTGCATTGACGTCGCGTTTGCGCCAGGAACGCCAGGCCTAGATCGCAAATATCACCTGGGGTATTGCATAGGTGTTCAGCATTTGCGGAATGTTTGATTGCTGGAAATTTCAGAAGGCCCTCCGTAAGAGTACAACATGTTCACTTGCGCTTCTCGATGGCTTTACAGTCTCTTTTGCGCAGTCAGATATTCCTGTACGTTCACTTCGAAGTCGCTTTCTTAGTAATCACATAGCAACCACTGATTTCCAATTCGAGTTTCATTGGTTGGCTGATGGTCTGTACACATGACTTTACACCTCGCCTCGTTGAACTGGAACAAGTTATCGGATGACCGCATATATACCCTGTGGATATTGCTCTGCAATCCCGTGTGCTCATCTGCTGCCTTGATGTCATGCTTCTTTTTGACAATACCTGCAAACAGTAAGCACTTCGACCGCAGTTCGCTGGCAATATCGTTTATGAATCCTAGGAAAATGCGTATGCCCATTAAGGATCCTCTGGCACGCGATACTTGACGTCAGTTCGGTAGGTAATGGAACTGCGAAGTACGATATTCAGCTGAGGTTGCATGAGGAAGTTTCCGGTCAAACCGAGTAAAGGTCGCTGATTTCATAGCTGAATCATGTGAAGGAGAATTCGGTGTTGCAAACGAGCAAACGTTTGGAGACGTTTAGGTAGACGACTTTGACTTTCAGTCTGATGTTTGATAACGAAGACGCTCGTTCGGCTTACCCGTGGCGCTCTGATCCCGAAGGTTGTTGCAGGGTTTCAGGAAAAATCCGTCGTGCATTCGGGAAAATAGCGGCAAATGCGGAAGCGACAGGCGCCGATCTGGCGTATTCTATCGTCCTCGAGCACATGGTGCTATACCGCATGCGTTGCCGCTTGCTTGTTTCAAGTAGGTCTAGTGAGTTACGAACCAGCACACTGGGGACCCATATCAAAACGCCGACGGGTGCTGTTGAGAATGAAGCAGTACTGGCGAAGCGTTGATAGGTACGCTGAATGCGCTTGCATTTGTATTTACCAACCGCTTGACAAGTGCCGAATTTCTCTATTTCAGGTGGCTAGTTTGCTATATTTGCTTAGTGGTTATTTTGTTACCTCATTGTAATGTCTGTTACACCCAAGCGAAATCAGAACAGTGGTATGGTAGTAGGAAAACTTTAGTAACAAACGGAAAGCGCTACACTGTACTCAGCACATGTGGGCACGTAAATTCTGCCAGCTACGGGAGTCACATGAACGCGAGAACCAGTTCCATTTCGAAGCGAATCAATGGCAGACATTGCTTGGTACGCATCCAAACACGTACGCACACATATACACGCGCTCCTACGCCGCAGCCTTTCCAGCTGAATAGCCGTGGATGGGTGTGGCACTACCAATTACTGTACCACCCCTCTAATTTTGGCTCACGCTAAGCTGTCTGAAAGCCCTCGACCGGTCGTGGTTGACAATGATAGTTACGTAAAGAAGGTGCAGTTATTGAATGTGTGGTAGTCATCTGCATATCAGTTGGGGATTGGAATGGCAGATCTGGTTCGCAGCTTATGTCTCGGTTCGACAGTCTTGGCCGCATATGTTCCAAATGGAGCCACACGATCCAGCAATCCTCAGTTTCTGCTTCTACCAGCTGCCCGTAGAATGTTTTTACAATAACCGGCACCCACCCAGTCTGTATGCAAACGGAAGTAAACTGCGTCTGACTGCCGCAATTCTGTCCTTGCTGCAAATATCAGAATGTTCCTTCACCCTTTGTTCCTTTTCGGTAACTTGTGCCTCTTGTCAGGATACACAAATAAGGGGTTTCACTGCGTCCTATTCTTTCAATGGTTGCGGCGCCGCACTAGAAACTGGCACGCTCGTTGCCAAAGCGACTCGAGCCTGTACATGCTGAGTAAGCGGTGCACAGTCTAAAAGACACTTTTGAGTTTGTTGACAAAGTTCGACACTTGAATGTTCAAGATAAGCACATGATATCATTTGATGTCTGTTCCCTTTACAGGAACGTTCCGTTGGATGAGACATTGAACATCATAAGTAAGCATGCGGACAAACTTGGGCTGCCTGCACATCGAGTGAAGACGTTACTCAGCATTTGTATGAAAGACGTCCAATTTTGCTTTGATGGGGATATGTGTCGTCAGATTGAAGGCGTTACGATGGGTAGCCCTCTCGGACCGATTCTAGCTGACATCTTTATGGGCTATTTTGAGAGTAACTTATTGCGCAATATCATTGGAGCAAGACACTTTCACACGAGGTATATCGATGACAGCATCCAGCAAGCGAATATCCTTTTAAAAACGTTAAACAAATGCCATCCTAACATCAAGTGCACTATGGAAAGTGAAGCGGAGGATTCATTTCATTTTCTTGACGATTCACTTGAAGACAGAGCAGATGGTTCACTGATAAGATCGATTTACCGGAAACCGAGCTGCACCGGACAATACATACATTTCAACAGTTACTGTCCAATGAACAATAAACAATCCCTAGTTCGAACTTGTTTTGTTAGAACACACCGAATATGTTCTGAAGAGTCAATCGATGCTGCATTACGATACATCGAATGTAACCTACGCAATAACGGCGATCCGAATAAATCCATCGCAGCGTATGGGAAGGAAGTTGCTACGAAACACAAATGGATGTCCCAAAGAAAAAGGTATTCATTACGCTACGATATAAAGGGAACAGAATGACAGAAGATTGTGCTACTGATTGCACCAAGCCATAAAATGGTGCTACTACACAGCTGAGCTCCTGTTGTTTCATCAAACCAAGAAGTTGTTCTATGAATCCAACTTGGATAAGCCTCACTCTCAGGTTACCGCCTCATGTTTTACCAATTCAC